TAAAATTGGTTCTATTTTAGTTTGTCCTTCAGGATTATGATGTAATTTTGGATCAGTATCTTTTCTCTGTCCAAAAGAGTGTTTGTATTTCATTCAAATGGAGAATATAGCCTCTGAAGCTTATTGAGTATAAGAAACACTTGTTAGCAATGGCATTGTATAATACAAAATTACTACCTATTTATTTCAAGAATTATTTGACAACATCTGTTCTTGGTATGAAAGACTTACTGATATTTAAATTATGAATAGTCTCAAATCTTATTTGAGATTAGTAGCGCACAGAGATTTCATCACGGCTTCTACTCCTCCACCCCTCTTTGGCAATGTAGGGGATTGAACTCAGCACCTCACATAGACAAGCAGAGCTACACTCCTAACCCCTGGTCATGGTATTTTAAAAAGAAGATTGCACTAAGCAACACTGGCAATGAGCTACATTCAGTGTAGTTTTAATAAAATTGTTTTTATCTAGAATTGCTGAATTTAAAAAATTTATTTAAAAATGTGACACATTTACATGTATAGAAAATTAGACAAAGTGAAACTGCTGGGTAATAGAACATGTATGTCTTTGTCTTTTCAAGAGGGATTTGAAGACACTGGCTCTGATGATGAAGGCATGGGGCCACGAGCCAAGGAATGCAGGAAGCCTATAGAAGCTGAACACGCAAGAAAATGAATTCATCCCCAGACACTCCAGAAGGAACAAAGACTTGCTGATGTTGGAAGCTGTGTATGAAGTATGGATTTGGTTTGAGACATTAAGGCAGGGAAGCTGCTTTTCTGGGAACTCCTGGAAGAAATTCCCCTATTAGAGAAAGCCCAGATGGAGCTGGTGCCTTGCCTTAGCTCATAGCCCCAGATTCAAACACAGCCGCTGGAGATAAGCATAAACTGCCAAGCACCAAACCACCTGTTTTTCCCCATTCTTATCGTATTTTTTCTGAGTAAACTCCTTCCTGATCCCCTTTGGTCTGTACCACTATAAATAAAGCATGTGCGGGTTTTTCTTTTTGTTAGGATCAGATCCATCAGGAAGGTCTATCTACCCGTCTGGCCCCTGCTTTAATATATTCCTGGTCTTTTGTCTTTTTCATGTGTGTGTGTGTGTGTGTTTGTGTATTTTGGTTGTAGATGAACCTTTATTTTTATTTATTTATTTATATGTGGTGCTGAGGATTGAATCCAGTGCTCACACATGCTAGGCAAGCACTCTGCCACTGAGCTACAGACCCAGTCCATCTTTATTTTTTAACATTACTTTCAAAGCTTTTATTTTGCACTTGGCCCACACCTTTAAGGGTTACACGCTCCCTTCCCACACAGGTTGTGGGCAGAATGCTAACACCTTGATTTTAGCATAATGAGACATATTTTTGGATATGACCTCCAGAGCTTTAAGAGAATTAATTTGTATTATTTTAATTCACTATATTTGTGGTGATTTGTTATAGAAGAAATGTAATATAAGAGTTGATAGACACGGCACTAGAGATTATGTTTCTTAAAAGATCTACAGGAGAGATTCCTTGATTCTTTGGCTGAGTACTGATTTGTATATATCAGAAAATAAATTAGAGCTATTATAATACTTTACTCAAGACTGGAGAAATAACCACTGGAAAGAAGTAAATCCATTTTCTGAGATCACACAGAACTGTGAATACTTTCCAACTCATATTTAAGGAAGAAATAATACAAAATTTTATTTTATTTATTTATTTATTTTTAAAAATTTTTTTATTGTTGGTTGTTCAAAACATTACATAGTTCTTGATATATCATATTTCACACTTTGAATCAAGTGGGTTATGAACTCCCATTTTTACCCCATATACAGATTGCAGAATCACATCAGTTACACATCCATTGATTTACATATTGCCATACTAGTGTCTGTTCTGTTTTGCTGCCTTTCCTATCCTCTACTATCCCCCCTCCCCTCCCCTCCCCTCCCCTCTTCTCTCTCTACCCCCTCTACTGTCATTCATTTCTCCCCCTTGTATTATTTTTCCCTTTCCCCTCACTTCCTCTTGTATGTACTTTTGTATAACCCTGAGGGTCTCCTTCCATTTCCATGCAATTTCCCTTCTCTCTCCCTTTCCCTCCCACCTCTCATCCCTGTTTAATGTTAATCTTCTTCTCATGCTCTTCGTCCCTACTCTGTTCTTAGTTACTCTCCTTATATCAAAGAAGACATTTGGCATTTGTTTTTTAGGGATTGGCTAGCTTCACTTAGCATAATCTGCTCTAATGCCATCCATTTCCCTGTAAATTCTATGATTTTGTCATTTTTTAATGCAGAGTAATACTCCATTGTGTATAAATGCCACATTTTTTTTTATCCATTCGTCTATTGAAGGGCATCTAGGTTGGTTCCACAGTCTTGCTATTGTGAATTGTGCTGCTATGAACATCGATGTAGCAGTGTCCCTGGAGCATGCTTTTTTTAGGTCTTTAGGGAATAGACCAAGAAGGGAAATAGCTGGGTCAAATGGTGGCTCCATTCCCAGCTTTCCAAGAAATCTCCATACTGCTTTCCAAATTGGCTGCACCAATTTGCAGTCCCACCAGCAATGTACAAGTGTACCCTTTTCCCCACATCCTCGCCAGCACTTGTTGTTGTTTGACTTCATAATGGCTGCCAATCTTACTGGAGTGAGATGGTATCTTAGGGAGGTTTTGATTTGCATTTCTCTGACTGCTAGAGATGGTGAGCATTTTTTCATGTACTTGTTGATTGATTGTATGTCCTCCTCTGAGAAGTGTCTGTTCAGGTCCTTGGCCCATTTGTTGATTGGGTTGTTTGTTATCTTATTGTCTAATTTTTTGAATTCTTTGTATACTCTGGATATTAGGGCTCTATCTGAAGTGTGAGGAGTAAAGATTTGTTCCCAGGATGTAGGCTCCCTATTTACCTCTCTTATTGTTTCTTTTGCTGTGAAAAAACTTTTTAGTTTGAGTAAGTCCCATTTGTTGATTCTAGTTATTAACTTTTGTGCTATGGGTGTCCTATTGAGGAATTTGGAGCCCGACCCCACAGTATGTAGATCGTAGCCAACTTTTTCTTCTATCAGACGGCGTGTCTCTGACTTGATATCAAGCTCCTTGATCCATTTTGAATTAACTTTTGTGCATAGTGAGAGAAAGGGATTCAGTTTCATTTTGTTGCATATGGATTTCCAGTTTTCCCAGCACCATTTGTTGAAGATGCTATCCTTCCTCCATTGCATGCTTTTAGCCCCTTTATCAAATATAAGATAGTTGTAGTTTTGTGGATTGGTTTCTGTGTCCTCTATTCTGTACCATTGGTCCACCCGCCTGTTTTGGTACCAGTACCATGCTGTTTTTGTTACTATTGCTCTGTAGTATAGTTTGAAGTCTGGTATCGCTATACCGCCTGATTCACACTTCCTGCTTAGCATTGTTTTTGCTATTCTGGGTCTTTTATTTTTCCATATGAATTTCATGATTGCTTTCTCTATTTCTACAAGAAATGCCGTTGGGATTTTGATTGGCATTGCATTAAACCTATTGAGAACTTTTGGTAATATCGCCATTTGGATGATGTTAGTTCTGCCTATCCATGAACAGGGTATATTTTTCCATTTTCTAAGATCTTCTTCTATTTCTCTCTTTAGGGTTCTGTAGTTTTCATTGTATAAGTCTTTCACCTCTTTTGTTAGGTTGATTCCCAAGTATTTTATTTTTTTTGAAGATATTGTGAATGGAGTGGTTGTCCTCATTTCCATTTCAGAGGATTTGTCACTGATATACAGGAATGCCTTTGATTTATGCGTGTTGATTTTATATCCTGCCACTTTGCTGAATTCATTTATTAGCTCTGATAGTTTCTTTGTAGACCTTTTTGGGTCTGCTAGATATAGAATCATGTCAACTGCGAATAGTGATAATTTAAGTTCTTCTTTTCCTATTTTTATGCCTTTAATTTCTTTCGTCTGTCTAATTGCTCTGGCCAGTGTTTTGAGAACTATGTTGAACAGAAGTGGTGAGAGAGGGTATCCCTGTCTTGTTCCAGATTTTAGAGGGAATGCCTTCAATTTTTCTCGATGCAGAATGATGCTAGCCTGAGGCTTAGCATAGATTGCTTTTACAATATTGAGGTATGTTCCTGTTATCCCTAGTTTTTCTAGAGTTTTGAACATTAAGAGATGCTGTACTTTGTCGAATGCTTTTTCCGCATCTATGGATATGATCATATGGTTCTTATTTTTAAGTCTATTGATGTGGTGAATAACATTTATTGATTTCCGTATATTGAACCAGCCTTGCATCCCAGGGATGAATCCTACTTGATCATGGTGCACAATTTTTTTTGATATGTTTTTGTATCCGATTCGCCAGAATTTTATTGAGGATTTTTGCATCTAGGTTCATTAGAGATATTGGTCTGTAGTTTTCTTTCTTTGAAGTGTCTTTGTCTGGTTTAAGTATCAGGGTGATGTTGGCCGCCTAGAATGAATTTGGAAGTTCTCCCTCTTTTTCTATTTCAAAAATTTCACAAACTGTTCCAGAAGAGGAACCATTTCCCAATTGATTTTTATGGAGCCAACATCACCCTAATACTCAACCTAGATTAAAAAAACCTTGTAAGAAAACAAGATACCAGTAGTCCTTATGATATCATATATGCAAAAATAAAAATTTAACAGAATGTAGCAAGGAAGATAAAATAGAAGGAAGATTCTGTGTGAGCCTAACAGGAAGCCCAGAAGATAAGAATTAAAAGAATGGAGGTTATATTCAAAGATAATGACTGTGGGGAGCCGGATTTGGAGCGCTTGGCGGCGGGGGCGGAGGAGGAGGCGGCACGTTGGAGCCTCGGTGGCCTGGGACGCTCCTCCCAGTGAGGGCCGCGGCAGGCCTCCGCCTGGAGCTCCCTCACCCCGGCGGGGACCGGCCACCACTTCCGGCGGTTCCTCTAGGACGCGCTCACCTGGGACGCCTTATGTGCCTCGGGGCCCCTGGGCTCCAGGATGAAGGACTGGCTGGAGCAGCTGAAGGCGAAGCAGCTGACACAGGATGATGATGCCGATGAGGTGGAGATGGCTATTGACAACACAGAGATGGAGGAGACTGGGCTCAACGTGGACAAGATCTCAGAGCATGTGGAGGAAGCAAAGAAACTCTACAGTATCATTCTGTCTGCACCAATTCCAGAGCCAAAACCCAAGGATGACCTGGAGCAGCTCACAACCGAGCTCAAGAAAAGGGCCAACAATGTCCTCAACAAACTAAAGAGCCTGGAGAGGCACATTGAAGAAGATGAAGTCCGCTCATCAGGAGACCTTCGGATTCGGAAATCTCAGCACTCCGTCCTCTCTGGGAAGTTTGTGGAGGTGATGACCAACTACAATGAGGCTCAGGTGGACTTTCGTGAACGCAGCAAAGGGCGAATCCAGCGGCAGCTTGAAATTACTGGCAAAAAGACAACCGATGAGGAGCTGGAGGAGATGCTAGAGAGTGGCAACCCTGCCATCTTCACTTCTGGGATCATCACTCGCAGATTTCCAAGCAAGCCCTCAGTGAGATCAAGGGTCGGCATAAGGACATTGTGAGGCTGGAGAGCAGCATTAAAGAACTTCATGACATGTTTATGGACATCGCCATGCTGGTGGAGAACCAGGGCGAGATGTTAGATAACATAGAGTTGAATGTCATGCACACAGTGGACCATGTGGAGAAGGCACGGGACGAAACTAAAAGAGCTGTGAAATATCAGGGTCAGGCCCGAAAGAAATTGATAATTATCATTGTGATAGTAGTTGTGTTGCTGAGCATTTTAGCATTGATTATTGGACTTTCCGTTGGGCTGTAATGAGTGGCCTGCGGGGCTGTTGCACTGAAATAACCTGATTTCACTCCAGCCTGGTGGGACCACCTTTATCTTCAGATGGGAATGGAGTCTGAATGGCCTTCCTGAGAGCCACGGGAACCCGTTCCTTTGTTTCCTTGTAACCATCCTTGGACCTGACTCAGCAATCAATCTAGCCCTGGAGGAATCTAACCTACCTGATGCAACCCAAGTTCTCCTCAAAACCAACTCCTGCCCCAGCAACTGAAGTACCTTTCCTCCTGGACCATATGAACTGACCCAGATTTTTCCCTCCTGTGGTGTGTCAAATTATGCGTTGCACCTTGGAAATCCCATGTGAGACTATCCCAAGGTGCTGCATCTTCTACCTCATGGAGTATACTCCCAGAAATTACAGTGTATTTTTCTAGGGGAGTATCTTTAACAAAGCAGATGGATTCTTCTAAATTTGGCAACAATAGGATTTAGATGGGAGACTTCTGCATGGCAGGATGCCAGTCCTGTCGGTCCTGAAAACATGAGTGACTGGCAGATGCCATTTTGGTCCAAAAAGTTGACTTGCTTGAAATTCAACTTCAAATTAAGCTTTTAATAAGATAAACCTGGGGGCCAATTTGGTCTTTCTCTAGGTTGTGTTCTCATGTTTACTCAAAGAGGGACCAAGATGATAATCATCTGAGGTTGCCATTTTCAAAGGCTAAGGATTTGGAATATTTGTTTCCCTATGAATTTTGGAAACTGGCTTTTCACCTTTGGAGTGACTCTTTGTGAAGCTGTTGCCCTGAGGCCAAAATTAACCAGGGATTTAAAATTGGGCTGGGGACAAGGTGCTAGAGTCTCAGACTCTGAAAAGGTTTCATGAGGCTGAGTGTTCAGTCACTCATGTGTTCAGGTGTATTTTTAAAAGTGTGTATGTGAGATGCATGTACATATATGTGTCTGTTTCTCAGGAAATAGGAAACTAGAAAAGAAAGACACTATGACCTCAAAAATTAAAAAAAAAAAACTTTTTTGAGCTAGACTAAAAATTAGATAAGTTGCTTTTGTTTACCTGCAAATGAATCATTGTAGAAATATGATCATCTTATGTCATCAACAAAGTTGTTTTCTAGAAGAGAACTGGGAGAATCAAATGAGATATTCAGACTGAGGACTGAGTTGATTTCTGGTTTCTGTGCAGCAGGTACAGGTGTAATGGTTTGACACCTCTCCCTATCTGCTGCCTCCACTAGGCTTTCCCTGAGAACATCCCACAGCAATCCACATGACCTATGGGATGTCCTGTTTTAGATGGAGTTAGTTGGAGAGACCCGAGACTACCTGCTACTGGGTGAATGAGCTTGACAGGTTCTTTGTTTTCCCCAGTTCTTGTCACAGAGGAAGCAACAGCCAGGAAATTTTCGTGTAGTGACTGCTAAGCTGTAGGTAGCCTCTTAGATCCCTGTCAGTCTCCCTGATTTTGGGTACTAGCTGTACTTCAGCTTTGACAGTAATGCTTTCTAAGGCAGAGAAAGCACCCTGATCCAGGCACTGCCTGTTAGCTTCCTGTGCAAAGGCTCCTCACTTCTCACTACCCAGCACTCAGACAGAGCCACAGGGATGCCCTTCTCCCCATGGCTACGATGTTAGAAGACATGCTGTAATCTCAGGCCTTTACTGTCATCTGAGACTGAGGCCTGGGGCTTGAAGTTTGGAATGCAACACATGAAGGGTTTTTGTATGTTTTTAAATGTAAATTTGATTATTTTATTGCTAATTTAAAAATAAACGACTTTCTAATGATTGCTACAGTCCGGCTGCAGCAAAATAACCCAACTTGTGTAGATTGATACAGCAGGAGTAGGAGCCCTTTATTGTAGGACAGGAGTGGTATTTATACATTCCACACAGCTTATCTTAATTAGCATAAACTAGATACATCAGTCAACCAATAAGGAATCTCCACATTTAATGGCTCGCTTTTGTTACTTCTCAAACCACTCCCTCTGGCATTTTGCCAGGCACCATCCAGACTTGTTTACAGACTCTAACATTTCTCTGGCAAAATGCCAGGAGCCATTCTGACTTGTTTACAGACTCTAACAAATGATTGCAAAGAAAAAAAAAGATAATGACTGAAAATTTTCTGTAACAGATGAAAGACATGAATTCTCACATTCATGAAGCAGTTTAAATAAAACTTGGTGGAACAATATATTTTCTCTGCTTTTAAGATTTCCTCTTTGACTTTGGTGTTCTAAAGTATTTATGTGATGGGTCCAAGTGAAGAATTAGTTTTATTTAAACTGCTTTATGAATGTGAGAAGTCATGTCTTTCACCTATTACAGAAAATGTCCAGGCATTATCTTTGAATATAACCTCTGTTCTTTTAATTCATACCTTCTCGGATTCCTGTTAGGCTCACACAGGAGCTTCTCTTCTCTTTTGTATGTCCTTTATCTTTCTTGCTACATTCTGTGCAATCTCTCAGATCTAATGTGAGTTGGCTACTGTCTTATTATCTGTTTCTAAATAAACATATTCACTGACTTTTACATTTCTATATGTATACTTTTTATTTATAAAAATCTTACTAATTATTTTTCAAATCTTTCTGTCCCTATTCCATATATCTGCTTATGTGTACCCCAAAGTTCATTGTTGGAAACTTGATCCCTAGTACAACAGTGTTGATAGGTGATTAGGTCTTGAGGGTGAAGCCCTCACAAATGGACTAAAATCTTCATCATGAGAATGTGTTTGTTATTGACAGAGTAGGTTTATTATAAAAATGACTTTGGCCCCCTCTTGTTCTCTCTCTACCTTTCTCTTACCATGTGATACCTTTCACCATATTATGAGGCAACACAAGGCCCTCCTCAGATGTCTGCCCCTTGATTTTGGATTTCCTGGTCTCTAGAACTGTAAGCTACATAAATCTGTTCATTTAAAGTTATCCAGACTCAGGTATTGTTATAGAAGCATAAAATGGACTAATATAGTACTTTATTCTTCTCTTAGAGTTTTGATCCCTTCATTTAGTCATTAATCATTTCAACATAGTAGTTAGTTTCCCTTCAGGATGTTGTTTTATTAGCTCAAATTATTGGAAGTCTAATCCTATTTGTTATTTGCTGCTCCTGGTCTATGGTGGACTCACTCCGCATCCTCTGCTGCACCTTGCCCCAGTGCTGGGATTGAATTCATGAGTGCTTTAACACTGAGCTACAGCCCCAGTCCTTTTAATTTTTTGAGATAGGGCCTAAGTTGCCAAGTCTGGCCTCAAACCTGTAGTTCTCCTGCCTTAGTATCCCGAGTTCCTGGGGTTATAGGCATGTGCCACTGTGCCTAGCTCTGTAGTGAATTTTTTACCTTTTAAAAACATTTGCCATTGTTAATGGGATAAAATTTTTGTGCCTGTGTCACTTGAGCATGATCTAGACTGAGTATGTTCACTTTTAGAGATTTTACACTTGGGCCCCCAAAACATTACTAATTTTTCAGTATGGATTCCCGGATTATGTGGTTGGTGCACATTGAAACCTAACATGCCAACTACATAGGGTAGGGAAGTGGTTCCATCAAACCCAAGATTTCTAGATTTCTCTCCCACCCACAGATGTGAAACAAAGCCCAAGCCTGTAGAGCTTATTGTCACTAGTTAAAATCATTGCACTGAAAATGTTTCTATAGGTCCTGAAAGACCTCATCACCACATTAAGTGACAATTCAATTGAATTTTCACACTCCTTGACATTTTTTGACTGGAGATGAGATAGAACCCAGGGCTTCACACATGCTAGACAAGTGCTCTGACAGTTTTTTTGTTTTTTGGGGGTCAACCCTGAACTGCTGGCACCCCACCCTCAAACTCCTTTGCTTTCCTATCATATCCCTTAGTAGTCTATAAATTCAATAGGTATTTATTGTAAAACCTTCCTTATACCAACTTCCTTTTCTCTGCAGCAGCTCTTCTTTCTGAGTCCGTGTTATGGACTTAATGTTTGTGTTCCCCTTTCCCTTAAAAATCCTTATGTTGAACCCTAATTTACAAGAGAGTCTTTGGGAGGTGATGATTAGGTCATGAAGGTAAAGCCTTTGTAAAGGATCAATATCTTTATAAGGGAGACAGAAGAGCTTTCTCTCTGCTGTATTCCATATGAGGACACAGCAAGAAGATGGCCATATGCCAACCAAGGAGGACCTGAACTCAACCATGCTGGTAGCCTGATGATCTCAATACTTCCCAACTTCCAGAACTTTGAGAAACAAATTCCTTCTGTTTAAGCCATCCAGTCTATTCTATGGTATTTCCATTATAGCAGTCCAAACCAAGACAACCTGGTTTATAACTCATGCCTGAGTTACTATAATAACTTTTTAGCTGGTTTCCATGTGGGCTAAACTTCATGCTGTTGCTTTGATTTTTTTTTCCCCAGCTGATGCTGGGGGTTGAACCCAGGGGTGCTCTACTACTGAGCCACATCCACAGCCCCTTCTATTTTGACAAGTTCTCAGTAGGTAGTCCAGGTTGGCCTCAACTTGAACTTGCTATCCTCCTGCCTCAGGCTTCTGAGTGGCTGGGATTACAGGCATGTACCACCATGCCCAGCTGTTGTTTCTTCACATTTTTCATGTGTTTCTTTTATGAAAGTCATAGATTCCCATACTTTCTAATCTAAATAGCTTTTCCAAACCCTGAATAATCCTGCCCTTTCTAGCTATGGAGATCCATTTCTTACTCCTAAAACACTTCTGTCTTCCCATTGTCCTGTGAACATAGAACATTTGTATATCCAAATTTTTGTCTCTAGATTTTATTTATTTATTTTTGGTACCAGGAATTGAACCTGGGGGCACTTAACCACTCAGCCACATCCCTAGCCCTTTTTTTGTATTTTATTTAGAGACAGGGTCTCATTGAGTTGCTTAGGGCCTCGCTAAGTTGCTGAGGCTGGCTTTGAACTCAAGATCCTCTTGCCTCAGCCTCCTGAGCTGCTGGAATTACAGGCATGCACCACTGTGCCTGGCTTTAGGTTTGTTTTCTTTCTACCCAAATTTCATCCATAATTTGAGGTGAAGCCCAAATTTAATGGTTTATCTTCCTACTTTACTTATAAAACCTGTTTACGTAAGTTGTTAGGTTGTAATAATTTTCCTGTCAGACTTGTAACAAATATGTTGTCTTCTCAAATAGATTCTACTTGTAGGTAGGGACCTGGTCTTTTTTACTTTAGTCTCTACAGCTTCCAACAGTTTAGCATGAAGTAGCACTGAACAGGTACTGATGGACCCAATTCTTCTCTTCCATGGCCTGTCATTTAGCAAACTAATACTGCTACATACTTTGACCTACAAAAAACCAAAACAAAACAAAAACTAAGTGAATTAATTAATTTTTTTGGTGGTGCTGGGGATTGAACCCAGGGCCTTGTGCATGAGAGGCAAGAACTCTACCAACTGAGCTATATCCCCAGCCCATAAGTTAATTTATTTTTTATGTATGAAGAATTCTGGTGAAAAATTCATTGGGAGAAAATTTCAAAGATGCTAAAATTTTAGTTATAAATGATTTTTAATTATACATGCCTATGTATTTTTTGACATTTATAGCAGGCATACAAATCCATTTTATACAAATTCTTAAATTATTGACTAATGTAATTTTCTAAAAGACTTCACTACCTTTGAGGCACTTATACAAGTTTCTTCATATAAAGAGGACATTTAGTAATAAAAATGACAATGGGAGCATATCTAATTTTCAAAATGCTATCTCATATTACCTTGTCACAAATACACTTTAGTCCATAAAGAATCAGCCAGTTTTATTTAAATTGAATACTGTCACGAAGATCTGAAAAGCTCCTCTTGCAATGTTACTGATGTGACTGTTTATGATTCAGCAGATTGCTTCATGGTGCTGAAAGTCACCTCAGAAACCATTAGCTGAGTTGAATGAATTAGGAGGTAACATAAGAGGTATTTTCCCTAAGAATGGAGACGTTGGAGGAAATAAACATATTTTTTTAATTGCCCACATAATTATGCTATGATAGTTTTATCATATAACTCATTTTATTTGAATTGGTACTATTTAATTTCAACCTGACAATGAATTTTAATAAGCATACCTCCCAAAAATGGCCTGAGGAACTAGCTGCATTATTAAAATTACATTTTAAAAAATCACTGAATAAAAAAAATCAAAGAAAAGATAATACGATATTAGTGGATAATGCAAAGGGTTTATTTTTGAATAATGGCATTGACAAGTTTTCTTATTTCTCATAAACATCATATAAAGTATTTGTCTCCCATCATGAGAAACTCTTATATAGATAATGCTATCTTAAATTCTGCTAAATAAACGACATGAAATAATTTTTTGCCAAATTTTGTGTCAGGCTTTGAAAAACAGCATTTCTTCTTAATTTACATGCTTCCTTAAAAATTGAGCAAAAATAAAAGGAGCTCACTTGGGGGAAACATTCTCTTTTATGCACTTTCACAGAAAGCAAATTCACTGAAAAATTAAGTAAGCAAGCCAAATCTTATTTCACATAACTAGAAATGAGATTAGGATCAGAAATACTTTTCAAAAAAAAAACTGAGGTCATACGTGATACAAACCATAGCAATTATTTTGTTCAAAAATTTCCATCTCAAGAAATGCCTTAAATGTGAAATCTAATGCAAAACAGAGGCAAGGAAAGGCATCATGACCATGACAAGGGTATACCAATGAC